TCTCTCCCTCTCTCTCTCTCTCTCTCTCTCTCCCCCTCTCTCTCTCTCTCTCTCTCTCTCTCTCTCTCTCTCTGCCGTCACAAATATTTAAATCAAATAAAGGTTCTTAATAATCTAGTTCTCTTTGTCTAACGACAAAACAGTGAGTACATTTTTCTTTATCTGTATATTTTCCTGTTAGTAGAGTGTGTGAGGCTGAACTGTGTACACATGTGAGACCAGCATATGACCTTTCTGCATGAAGATAATGGATGACTCTTTGTGAAACGAAATAATAGCAAACACATTCTGCTCAGTCGAAAGAAAATGTTGACATGTATTGAATCTGAAACCTGGAAGATGTTAAAGTGCAGTGTAAGCTGTTGAGAAATCGGTTCCTTACAAGATTTTTCTGCCACAAAAAATAAACTCATCAAATACATAACCTGTATTGAATACTTAGTTTCTGTTTTTAAAATGAAAGATTTACTTGTGAATTGTAGTTTGTTAGCAAAGAACCAACTGAACAAATGTTTCTTGCAAAAAAAAATATTTTTTCAGAATGCATAGTTTCAAATGCCTTTCAATAGAAAACCCTCATTTTGACCCTATAATGATGTAGTTATGGCATTGACCAGCAGGAGCAAACTGGACTATGCAAACCAACCAGACCTTGACGTTCTTGGAAGAGATCATGACTGTAGACATGCATTATTTCCTCAGGATTTCCTTTCTGAAAAAAATGCTCCCGTTACTTATGTAACTTCGGTTCCCTGAGACAGAGGTGGGACCAAGTCATTGTTTTGCAAGTCACAAGGCTCCCTGAATGCAGTCTCTGGCTTATTGCCAGTCAAGCGCAAGCACGCTGCAGGGACGCGTCTATAATGACTTTGATCTGATCATAAAGTCTTTCCGAGTCACAGGGCTCAAGTCCAAGTCAAGTCTCGGTTCCTTGCTGTCAAAGTCTAAGTCGAGTCTCAAGTCTTCTTTAATTATGTCGAGTCGAGTCGCAAGTCATCAAATTTGGGACTCGAGTCCGAGTCGAGTCTCGAGTCAAGTGACTCGAGTCCACACCCCTGCCCTGAGATAAGGGAATGAGTGTTGCGTCGCTGATGCTTTTAGGCAAACTCCTGTTTGCTCTGATACTGAAGCCTGATTTGTTCATGTTCGTGTAGCTGCACGAACCAATGGCGTTCACCCGCCCAAATGGGGTGGAGTCGGCCTCTATACAAGCCGGCTCTGAGCGCCATTTCATCAGAATCTTTCGACTGAAGCGACAGTCATCGATTCGCGTGCAGCCTTATAGCACGGCAGCCTACGCAACGTTTGATCCTTTTTCTCAGGGAACCGAAGTTACATAAGTAACGGGATCGTTCCCTTTTGAACAGTCTCTCATGTTGCGTCGCTGATGCTTTTGAGGAATGCATACAAAACCGCCGTGCTATAAGCAAGTGCAGAACGAAGCCGCTCCGCGAGCCCAGCCCTGGAGCACTCTTACTGAGGGCTTCTGTAAGCATGAGCTATTGATGAGACCCAAGCCGTTTAGGTTGAGGACTTCATAGCATAACCCTCTCCACTTATAAAGGGATTAGGTAGAATTAAGCACACAAAATCCGTGCCTGCAGGGCAGGGACATCCAAGTTATAAAACCTGGTGAAGGTAGACGGCGACGACCAGCTGGCGGTCGCACAAATATCACCAATAGAAATCCCATTGGACCAAGCCCAGGAGGGAGGCCATTCCTCTAGTGGAGTGGGCCCTCACACCTATGGGGCACTGCAAGCCCACTGAGGAGTAAGCCAAGGCTATAGCATCCACTATCCAGTGAGTCTCTGCTTCATAACCGGCAGCCCTTTAGAGCGGCCGCCGAAGTACACAAAGAGCTGCTCTGAGTGTCTAAACAGACCAGAGTGCTCGACATACACTCTAAGAGCCCGCACTGGGTAGAATGAATTGGGACCCTGCTCACTATCTTAATTGGGGAGCGCCAGAAGGGTGATGCCTTGTGCTCTAAACAGAGTGGAGAGCACTTTCGGCACATAGCTGTGTTTCGGTTAGAGGATGACTTTACAGTCGTTAGGCCCAAAGTCATGACAGGAAGCACTGACTGACAGTGCTTGCAGGTCACCCACTCACTTGACTGAAGCTAGAGCTAAGTGGAGGGCAGTCTTAAGTGACAGGGGCAGCATGACGGCCGACCGGAGCGGCTCAAATGGAGGGCCCTGAGGACTATAGATAAGTCCCAAGTCAGCACAGTATGAGGACGAGGAGGATTCAATCTCCGAGCTCCCCTCAGAAACTTAACGACTAAGTCATTTCTGCCGACTGATTGGCCAGCCATGAGAGAATGATTCGCCGTGATGGCTGCCACATACACTTTGAGCATGGAAGGGGTGTGCCCCTTATCCAGTAACTCTTGTAGAAAGGTTAGTATGTGGGACACGTCACAAGAGGACGGGTCCTCGCTCCATACTGCACACCAGTCAGAGAAGACTGACCATTTAAGGACATAAAAACGTCTTGTAGATGGAGCCCTAGCTTCCAAAATGGTATTAGCTACACTTGAGGGGATCTGCAAAGACTCACGTTGAGGGGCCAAACATGAAGGTTCCACAGCTCTGGCTGGGGATGCCAAATCATGCCCTTTGCTTGCAAGAGAAGGTCCTTCCTCAGTGGTATCGGCCAAGGGGCTGCCAATAGCAGCTGAATCAACTCATGGAACCACATCTGATTCGTCCAGAGTGGGGCCACCAGGAGAACTGAGCATCTGACTTCCCTGACCCATCTGATGACCTGAGGAAGCAGGGCAACTGGGGGGAAGGTGTACAGGTGAGTGTTATTTGAAAAGAAGATTGGGCAGTGAAAGTTGTCTTCTGAGGCGAAGAGGTACACCTCTGCCCTCCCGAAGATGGACCAAATCATTTGAACTATTTGGGGATGTAGTCTACATTCTCCTGGAGCTACCTGGCCCCTGGACAGCATGTTTGCCCCCTGGTTCAATCTGCCTGGAACATGAACTGCTCTGAGTGAGAGGAGTTTGCCTTGTGCCCATAGAAAGAGGCGTTGATGTGTAAGCGCTGCTCCAGGTTTGACCAGGAGTCGTACGCAGGTCTGCCCGCGTACAGAGCTCCCCAACTTGAGTTGGAGGCATCTGTCATGACCACCTTCCATCTGGAGGTCAGTCCCAATGGGACGCCTGATTGAAACAGGCGAGAGGTTTTCCAAGGGGCCACGTCTCTGATGCAGTGGTGAGTTACCCTGAGATGAAAGCACCAAGGGTGGGACGGGACATGGGCTTTGAGCCAGTACTGAAGGGGCTGCATGTAAAGCTGGCCCAGAAGAATCACAGAGGAAGCAAGATTGATTCTCAACCCAAAGCGCTCCAGGTGGCTGAGCAGCAGCGACCTGTGAGCGATGAGTTTCCGTTCTGACCTGGCTAAAACAAGCCAATCATCGAGGTAGTTCAAAATGCGGATTCCCATCTGTCTCAAAGGGAAAGAGCT